TTAAATATAATATATATATATATAAAGAATTTCTTACAAATTTTAATTATATAGTAAATAATTTGTTTATGAAATACAACGCTAAAATACTAATTTAATAAAATTGTAATCAGATCTTTAATCTCTGAAGTTAGAGATTTATTTATTGTCCATAAAATTTAAGAATTATATTATATATTATTATTTCATGTTCATTATCCATGCATATTAAATTTTAATTTCTACCGGTTAAATTTTTTTATTATTCCAAAATTCTTATAATTAAGAAGATCACAATAACTTTTACTCGGAGATCAAAACTTGCTACCCTTAGATGATAGATAGAATATTAATCTAATGTAACCATGTATGCATGATATAAAAAATACTGTCTTATTTAAAGATTTGTAAATAAGTTTTTAACTTTATGTACTAAATTATAAAAATATAAAATATTAAAAGTCTTAGTTATAATTTTTTTAATTTAAGAACATAATTAAATATTCTAAAAAACTTTAGAGTTCAAATGTATAAAAATATTAATTAAAAAGGAATATTTTATTACATTAAAAGAAAACAATATTAACAAATCTAAAAATATATGCTATATTTTTTTTTATTTAATGACTATTGTTTATTATACAGTACTTTATAAAATAATTTTGAAGACAGATAGTGGTACATTGTGAATTAGAATGATTAAAATAATAATTTTTTTTCAAAATTAAAACGAAACTTTAAAAATTTTATAAGATTAAAAATATATTTTATTTCTTTATTAATATAAAGAAAAAATTAATAATAAAAATAATAAGATTTTATAACTATATCACATTTTTATACATAAGTATAAAAGGAAATAATAATTTTTAATTTATTTTAACATAATATAAAATTATATTTTTTTATGTATAAACTAATAAAAGTATTGGGCCTCTTATAAATGCGTGCTGGACGGTTACACGGGACCGGCCCTTGGGTTGTTCCATATGTTCACACCTTGAAGTTGAAAATTAAAAGGCCATGATTTTGATTTTTGACCAAAACTTTGATTTGGAGATCCAAAGTCACTCTCACATTTGACATTTCTGTGGTATTAATGACGCCAACAAACATACACTCACACCACCTCTTAATTCTCAATCAAATATTAATTGAATGTATTTAGAGATATTGGGATATAATTGATTTAGAATCAATGTAAATTTGTAAAATTAATTTTGAGAAAATATGAGTAAAAAATAACATGATTTTTTTATAATAAAATATATGAATTTAGTTTTTATATTAAATATTATTTGAAAATTTATTATCAAAATTAATTTTTAAGTGTATAATTATAAATCTAGACAAATAAAATTTTATAATTAATATTATTTAAGAAATTACTAATAGTTGCTTTCAAGTGGATGCAGATTTTTACATCTTGAAATCAATTATACTAAATTACTAATAGACAAAATATGCTACATAAATGATTCTAGTCATTTTAAATGTAAGTGGAATTCATTTCGAATATACTTGATGTGAAAACAAATATGCTCTCCTTCTTCTACTGTCCTACACCATTTCTATCTTAATTTTCTTTCAATTTCTATTTTATTTTTTTTCTTTGTATCACTTATCGTTTTTTATCGTTTTCTCTTTTTAATTTTTCCTCTTCTCTTTATCTTATAATTTCTAAGAAGTATCTATACTTTTTTATTTATGTATACTAATTGTATCTTCTACAATCTTATTTGAGTTAAAAGCTTTCTTTTGAATATTTATACATACATAACTTGAATATGAAATAACTTGTATTATATGTGATATAACAATTGAGCGACGAAGACATAAATACTGGATGGTTCTGATTACCTAGTAATTTTATGTCGGAATGGGTCAATGAATAATTGAATATCGTTAATTGATGACTTGCATACACATGCATATATACATAGAAGTAGAAGGCAAGTGTTTGTTAGCACGAGTCAACTAATAAAACAGGGTACTAGAGAGCTAGAGCACTATAAATAGAGAATAGCAAGAGCGAGAAACAAGAAGAAAGAGGTAGCTTGACTTAAAGGGTGTTGAATTTGGTGCAAGCATGAAGGTAAGATGAATAATATTTCATAGGATTTATGTAATTATTTATTTGAGTTAAATTGGTATATATTGGTGTGTAGCAAAAGATAGTTATAAAGGTGCAAATGGACTGCGAGAAATGCAGAAGCAAGGCCCTCAAAATTGCGGCAGTGGCAAAGGGTACGTAAGAAACGAACATGTGTTAAATTAATATTAAAGAACAGCATGCATGCATGCAGATTCATGTTATGATATATATGAATGAAGGTGTGAGTTCGGTGTCGTTAGAAGGGGAAGAAAAAGATCAGGTGGCGGTTACCGGAGATGGGGTGGATTCCGTTTGCTTGGCCAAGACTCTGAGGAAGAAATTTAAACATGCCACCATCCTAAGTGTGGAAAAAGTGAAAGACAAGGATAAAGATAAAAAGGAAGACGAAACCAAGATAATACCATTACTTCACTATCCACTCCCTGTGCCTTGTCAATATGATGAATATGGTAGTTATTGCATCATCATGTAACCAAACAAAGTATTATTTCTTTACCTGCTTTATCTTCATTCTAATGTTCCCTCCATTATCTTCCCATATTCACTAGTAGTCAAAAATTTGTATCCATTTTTCATAATATTATGTATGGATTAGATATATTATAACAAATTTGTTAGATGTTATTATGTTTTTTTGTGATGAAATTTGATAAGTGAGATTCTGAATATTTTTTTTTATAGATAATCTCACTTCATCTATCATTTCATTTAATAAAATCAACTTCTTTTATTAAAAAAAAAACTATGATTTTATTTTGTGCCGTGCCGAGGCTATGATGTTTTTTCTTTTTCACAAGAAAATGTATTGACTATATTAATTTTCCACGGTACTCAGCATTAATTGTCATCTAAATGCTGCTTTGGGATGTCCATTTCGATGGGTGCCAATTCAGCTCATTTGTATCTATCGATCGTTTGAGTTGTCATCAAGAAAAATTCTACGCATATATAATAAAGTAGACTTGGACAATTAATTAAAAAGCACGAATTTCCCTCAAATTACAAGTTATATATAAAATAATCTCATGTCTTATAAATACTTCATTAACTCCACTTTTTCTTATATATTTGAATATTCTTTTATAATGAAAGTGCAGTTTCACTCTTAAAATATACATGTCTCTTGTATTTTTCATATCAAACAAACTATCTATTAATTATCTAACAAACAATATCTAAATATCAAAATAAGGTATGTATTTTATCTTTAAAATTTAAATATTATCACTCTGCATTCTTTTTTATATTTGTTTTAGTATTTTTTTAATTTCTTATCTCTTTAAATATATTTTTGATATTTAATTCAATATTTTTAAAAGATATTATCAATAATTAAAAATAAATTTTTATCACAATATAAATTATTTATCATAAATCTAAAATATAATTTGTATATTTAAAAATATTTATTTATACAAATTTTAATTATAATACAATTTATATAATAAAAAATAATTATTTATTATAAATTTAATTTTATAAAATAAATAATTATCCGGTATATTGTATAGGATAAAATGTTAGTATTGGATAAAAATTGAAAGAGTTTTTATTAATTACTAAAGGAAAGAGAAATACTTAATTGCTGTCCTTTCTTTTCTAGATAAAATAAAATAAAATAAAAATGAAACAGTAGTATGAAAATTTATTAAAGAGTAAAACAGTGGATACTTTAAAAATTAATAAAGTATACAGCCTAATAAAAAGTAGAGAACTTATTATTCTCTTTATCATTGTAATATATTTGAGCAATAAAACTTTATTATATGTTGTATATAAAATTATTTTTAGAACAGTGTAAAAGAATTTTACTTCACCATCCCACATTGATGTGTACGCGACAAGTTTATATATATATATATATTAAAATTATTAATTTTTAATGAGAGAAACTAAAATCATACTATTATGATATTCGAGGGACTAAAATTGTTCAATTTAAAATTGAAGGATCAAAATCGCGCAATTGCAGTTCTTTAAGGATTAAAATTACCCAATTAAAATCTTGAGATCAAAACTGCATAATTGTAATACTTGAAGGATAAAAAATGCAATTATACCAATATTTTTTTATTAATTTTATTAAAAAATATAACAATATTGAAAATATTTTTTAATGGTAAAAATTTTAAAATTACTTATTTTTATAAAATATAATTGTCTTATAAATAGAGTAATAATTTTTTCTTTTTCTCTTTCTGTTTGAAGAAATATTTAAATATCACTTTATAATTTTTTGTAACTTATTTAAGATTAGAGGAATAAAATGATAAAAATTGAGAAAATAAATATAATAAAATAATTTGGACGGAAGTCCCACATTGAAACCAATTAATTAAATTAGGACCAAATTGAAACCATTAATTAGTTTGGGACTAAATTGAGACCAAAAATAAAAGTGAGACTACATTGAAACAAAAAAAGATTATAAGGGACCAAAATAGGTTTTTAGCCTAAAAAATTCTCATCTACGTGGCATCCACGTATGCATCTACGTGGCATCCACGTCCTCAAGAGTTAACACCGTTAAAGAAATTTGGACGGAAGTCCCACATTGAAACCAATTAATTAAATTAGGACTAAATTGAAACCCATTAATTAGTTTGGGACTAAATTGAGACCAAAAATAAAAATGTGACTACATTGAAACAAAAAAAGATTATAAAGGACCATAATAGGTTTTTAGCCTTTATATAACCATCTTAAAATTTATACTTAATATGATATTTTTTATTATTAATTGATGCAATGTAAATATTTACACCAATAATATATAAAAATTGAACTCATATTTTTTCTCTCTTTCTGACTTTTTACCACGTATATTTCAAAAATAAAATAAAAAGAGACTACATGTTATCCTCTACATCTGATATTTAAAAAAAATTCAAAACTTAAAATAATAATATTATACATAGCTAAAAAATAAAAATAGAACTTATTACGTGCATTGTGGTCCACTGGTTCGTTGAATAGTTGACGCTGATTTCCCGTTCAATACTCATATATGGCAACCTTTCTTTTTCGTATTAATTAATGATTCGATAGTCGACACATTAACCCTAGCTAAACAAACAAACATGTTTTATTCGTAATTTTTTTTAATATTAGATTAGAGTAACCCAGCATTTCGTATCTCTAATAACTATATACAGATAAATATTAAAAATATAAATATTTTATTTTATTTTTACATTTAATGGTATAAATATTCACTGAAAAGTAGGAAAAAAAATAATTAATAAAATATATCCCATTATAATAAGTATATTCATCACTCATTTTATTTTTTTTGTCAATTAGCGTCAAGATCTGGCGGATAACTTGTATGACTAGTATACGTGGAACATGTGGTTTCCAAACTTCCCTTCGGAACCTGGAAATTAATCAGCACTAAAAGTTAACGTTGATCATAAGAATAGTATTCTTTCACCAAGTCCAAGTCTTCTTTCTTCTCTTCGTATTAAAATTAAGAAGGAATTGGCTTTGCTTTCCATTGAAAGTAACATTTTATTAGCTTTTACTATTATTTCTGGGTACACATCATTATTAAATCTGTAATGTTTAAATTGAGTGCACGATCGATGTGCCAAATTCTAGACTGAATTACAAAATTAAGTGCACCATACAGGAATTTATTTTCTTTTTCTTTTTCTTTCTTTTTCTTGTTACAAAAACTTTAGGTGAGTTGTCTTGAGAAGCATTTACCAACACTTCAATTATCCCACAATAAAGTCTTTATATTGAAACTCACATCCTTATAAGGTATTGATGTTATCATATTAGCTACCCAAATAAAGTAACTAGAGAGGACCTAATAACAATAATAATATATAAAAAGAAAAATAAAAACTTCTGTAATGTAACTATAGAGTGGAGTCCACTATCAGACGAGGCCCACTAAAGGTCCAACGCATAGCAAAAACGGGCCTCCACACCCTTCGCAAGGGAGAGATTCAATTGGGCCAATTCTCTTATACTATACCACTGCCGCAGCGATGCATGTGAAAGTAAAACATTAGGTTCATGATACATGCACCTCCTTTTTTCTATAAGTAGACTTCTTTTTAAAAAAATAATTTAAAATTTTAAAATATTCTTAATTTTTTTATTTTTTATTTTTAATTTTTAATTTTACATCCATAATATTTAATTTAGTACTTTTTCTCACATATCTTTCTTCCTTTTTTCAATTTTTATATGCATCTCTTACCTTTATTTCACTACACCTATTTTGGTAACATGTGAAAATTAAAAGAGAAAAAAAAAAGTGTGTCAAAAAGAAGAAAAAAGTAGCAAGTTAAAAGTTGGAGGTGTAAAATTAAAAAATTTTAAAAAAAAAAGTTTAGAATATTTAATAATTTTTTTTAAAAAAAATAAAGGAGGTGTATATATCATAAGCCAAAACATTAATATGCCATATATTAACCAAGTTGCTCCAGCCCAAAGAAACACCATTGAAGCCAATTGGATTGCAGAAATTATAATGGAATACAATGATAAATTCTATTCCTTCTTATTCAAAACCACCTATTTCATATATTCTTAAATCTAAATCCCTCTTTGCATGCTGGTGATGTCTTTCCTAATTCTGAAGTTGTGTGTGCCAAATCAACTTAGATCATCTTTTGAACCTTGTCATGTGCCTCAATTCTATCAAACTATATCTGTACGGGTAGGGATGTTTAGCCACCTTCTTATCGGTCGCCGAAAGGCCGAATCAGGTGGCCGATTGCCAATCGGTTACCTGGTTCGGCTCATCCCTATTAGTTATCATTAATAGACCATCAGAGGTTAATTAGCTGATTAAGAAGTATTACCTAGCACGATAAGTTTTTAGTTTGGATATTCTTTTCTAGTAACAGACTTGGTAATCTATTAACACAGAAGACATTTAAATATCATTTTCCTGTAACAGACTTACATTGTGTTTGTTTTCCCATTTGATGCAGGTAAACCTACGTTTATTTTAATCCACCAAGACTCATACTTCTCTGTTTTATTGCTTTGGAATGCCCACTGCCAATTATACAAATCATATTTCTATATTTAAACATTCTTTACACTCTTTTTTTCTTTAATCATTGGTTAATTTTAGCTTCTACATTAGACATATATACATTATATGCATACCTTCACAGTGAATCAACCAACAAAATCCAGACTAATCCTCTCAATAACAATTTGCATAATTGCATAGTGCTGGAAAGTTTTAAAGATCGAATACTTATATAGTTTCTAACCTTTCATTCACATCAAATAAATCCCACGTTGTTGATTATGCTTGTGAAGCACATTTTTTTTTATCGTGTTTCCTTTTATTTATTTCATAGAATAAACTGAAGCACATAGATCCAATTTAGTCGAAACAATTTGGGTTGCACATAGGTGACCTGAGTTCTGTGGAACTACTGATAATAGCTTTGAACATGGAAAATAACAGAAAAAAATTTGATTGCTCTGCACATGCAATTGATATAGAAAAAACATAATTAACGGTATTACCTC